GTTTACATTAACACGATAAAGAATTGAATATATCCATATTTTTATAAAATATAAAAAATGGCAAACAAACAATCCAATGTCGATTCATTAGAAGAATGAATTTCCAAGCTTGTAGCTGAGAATGATATACTTAGACAGAAAAACACTGAGATCAAGTCTGAGAACATCGAACTTAAATCTGAGAATGCAAAATTAAAACAGGCTTTGAAAGAACATGAATCCAGATTTATAAAACTGGAGCAGAATGATAAAGATACCGCTTCTGAAAATGCTGAACTTAAAGCTAGGGTTGCGAAATTGGAACAGAAACAGTTACAAACTGACAAAGAAAAGAGCAACCATATTATATTACGAAGTAATGACTGTGCCAGCTTCACTGATGTCTTCGCATCTAAATCAGATGATACCACCTCTATTGAAACGGAAAATTCTAACGATGCTCCTGAACAGACAAACTTACATTGTAATGAGTTAGAGACTTGTGGCTATACTATTGATACTCTTGCAATTAATATATCTGATAACACTTCAAATTCTGATATATGTCAAGAGCTTTCATCCCAATATTCTGCATCATCCGTCTGCACAGAGAGTAAGTCATTGGAAGACAAGGAAATAGATGAATTCATAGATTCAATATATGAGGAACAGGTTAGTAAAGAGATAATTCAGAGAATTAGGGAGAAGAAACTTTGGGAACAAGAATTATCCTCTATATCGGTTGAAGAATTATATAGTGAAAAAGTGAGACCGAAAGTTTTACTTGAGCGAAACAGCAAATCAGTGCCGATACAGCCTGAAGAAACAAAAGTTTCGCATGATTATATAGTCACCCAAGATTTTATTCAAGAAGTGTCTTCAGGGTTCACAGATGAGGAAACCATCGAAGTTGTTGATATACTCACTACCAATACGACAATAGAAGTTGAGCTAGCTTATTTGTTTCTAAAAGTAAGTATTGAAGGAAAAAATACTATACAAGCTAAACAGAAAGAGATTTCATGTCGTTACTCATATGGAAAAAGATTTGAAATAGGAGTTCAAGAACTTATAGTAAAGAAAAATATTTCAGAACAGACAGTGAGAAAATGATTATTCCAGGATATAATAAAACACCTTTCTGGATTAACTTTGGAAACCTTACGTAAAAGAACCCAAAGATCTATAAAACTTTACAAATTAATCGAAAAGATAGGAGTTGATAAGATTAAGAATATCAAAACATTCAGTGCGGATTCTATTTCAAAGTTTACACAACCTCAAATTCAAATAATTCTGGATTATTTTAATGAAGGTGAAAAAGTGAGACCAAAAGTCCCACTTGAGCAGAATGGCGTTGTCAATCATGTATCTAATACAGATTCTACTAATATTATCAGCAGAGCTGACATGACCAAGAAGACCTCACCGATAGCTCAGGCAAGTGCACCACCTATATTTGAACCAGAAGTCGATATAAGTATATCTTCTGTTTCTGTCAATTCGAAAACCAAGATAAGTGTGGGTTCTATGTCTAAAACTGAAAAAAAAGCTTTATCCAAAAAGACCCTATTTGAAAAGCAAAATAATCTAGCATATACCCGTGGTTATTTTTGTAGCAAATTATTGGAGCAATATCCTGATTTATATAAAGAATGTAGTAGTGAAAATGTTGATTATTATGGGATTAATGCCGAATCACTATGTCCAATATGCAAGTTAATTCATGAGGATGAAGAAGGTATAGAAGCTGAATATAAAGATAGATCTTACTATATTAAATGTGAAGCATCTGAAATTGGTACTGTTATATCGGCTCGTACTAAACTAATTGTATAATTTTATCTGTTTATTATTACTATGCAGTAAATATTAATGTGAGAAGCAGAGGTACTGAAATAGCATATACAGTATATTTAATATTTTTTTATACGCATAAGTGCCTCCATTTTGTAAGCAATATCCAATGTAGAAATTTCAATTAACTTGTGATCTTATAAAATAACAACATGAGTGCGTTAAATTTACAAACCAAATCTAATAAAATCTCTATGAAGCAGGATACTTTGTGCCTAACCCCTGAATATTTAGATTTGGCAGGCTAAATTAATTGGAATTTTAACAGATATTATTCGTTTCAAGTTATATAAAAGATATAAGAAAGAAACTGGGCTCAACCCCTGGATAATGTCTGAAACCTTTGAGTCCCCACAAATCGAAAAGGATGCTGAAAAAAAGATGTTATTTGTACTACAGATAAATGTTCAGCCTACACCATCCAAACTTCGATCACCAATTTCTGTTCTACCTAAAGACCTGAAAGAAATACAACAACACGTTATTGAAATGGTATTAGAATGATTTCTTTATTTAACTTTGAAACATAGTTTTAAATATAGTAATTATTTTGATTTTAATAGATCAGTACCCTGCCCT